GTAACTTTTTCGTTGCTATAATCTAGTTTATTTTTGCTTTCCGAAGTATATTCGGCTGCTCAGCACATAGTTCTAAAAACCGACATGTGTCAACAGAATAAAGTAGAAGTTTTCACAAAATTGTAGTCCAGTTGAACTTTCCTTCGTGCGTCACCTCCGTATAGCCGACAACCCAAATTAAAAATAACAAAGAAAAACCTGCGAAAATGCCAACAAAAATTTTCACCTCGCGCCACGTAATCAAATCACTGTTTACGGAAAGATATTTAATCCCAACATAGAATATACTAATAAATGCGACGGTTTTTTGAAGCCAATCGTAAAGTCCCGCCGATTTCCGAGATACACACACATTTACAACCAAACCCACCCAACCTATCGTAAGCGGTGTATACGGCACACCATACAAATATGCCACCATAATAGATCCAATCAAATTTGACGCCGAACTCACCACCGGGCTAAAGGCCAACTTTCCTTCCCATGTTTCATACGGCGGAAATGCACGCACATGCAGAATTACGCCGATTGCCAAAACACCCATAAACATACAAACGCTTGTTACACGTTCGCCAGGCCGTCTTAAGCTAGAAGAAATTATCCCTTCAGAAAATCGTTGCACAGATTCGCGCGGGAAAAAATCAAGTTCTCCCAGTCCTACACTTTCGTAGCTATCACTAAAACCTAATCTAGCACAATGACTAGGATCCCACGATTTCGTTCCTCGCCTGCCACAAAACCGTATGCATGGAAGAGAGCTGTTCACACGAATGACTCGCATCTTTCATTTTAGGTCATTATCCTCACGATTGCCTTCTAGAACGATTCGCATCGGCCGCAGCTCTTCCACCACGATGACTATGTTCTCCAGCGATAACGCACGTGTTCGATAGAGAACGGTTTTTGTGTTGTCGGTGATGATTAGTTACGACTACCAATGATCTATAGGAGTGGATGTTTGCGTACCTGCTGACGTCGGGTCCAGGTTCGACAAGCTGCTGAGTTGGAATGGATCTTTGCTGAATTGAAGTTCTTCGTGGCATTCTAAAATGTTACTGTAGTGAATTCCATGTGTATGTGATGTGGTACAGGGTTCTACTGGGATATCATAGATCTGCACTCAAGTATAGAAGTATGACTTCCGTACGGAAACTGTTTCTGTATCTTATATTTAGGAGGTTTCATAGGATGTTTTGTCTTATTGTGTTTTAATCAGTTCGAAAATGAAAGAATGTTTTCGAAGGGTGATTTGTTATAGCCAGAAACACACTGTATGACGATAGACAATGGAACCATAGTCCTTTATACAGTTGAATATCTGTTTTCGTTCTGTCGGCTTTTCATTGAATTTAGGGCTTTGAGTGCACACGATGAGCTTTGAATAGAATCGTTTTATTAATTAGATTATTTATTTCATTTACGTTGGATTAAAAAACAAATTAATTAAGAATAATGTCGATAATTGTTGAATTTCATATGATTCATCCCGAAAGAATCTATTTCGGTCGAATAAAAAAAGTGACTCAGATGGTTATTGTACGATATGACTCATAAGTGTCTTTTGTTTTAGGGCTGACGACGAACATAATGCCTCGATCTGTCGGTCCAAGTTCAAGTTGTTCTTCGTCCGACTTGTATTCGAGGAAAACATGGATTCTTTGTATTACGATAGATTCACACATGAACAAAACACAGCTTGCTTCGCATAATTTACCGATTATTGGTGGCAATTATTCTGTGCAAAGTGAGTCAGGTCTGTTTTTCATTGAACATGTTATCGTTAACACGCGATTCATCATTTCCGATCACGACAAGGTTTCAATAAGGATCGACAGAAACGTATTTTCTCACTCAGCGTGGAGATGTGTAGCTCAATAGAAACAATTTTTCACTCATCAGAAATAAGTATTTTCGTTCTTCAGTACAGACGATCGGCTTTAGCTCCTCAATTTGATCAAGCACTTTTTCGTTTTTGTCTCAATACGAATTCCGGCATATTTTACTCGAAGTTTTCAACTCGACTGAATCTTATCTTCGCGGAAAATATGTTCATCGGCTTTTCCATTCACTCGTTCTTCACTTTTATTTGTGTTTCTCTTTTGGCTTCTACGCTCTGATCGACAAAACAGTCACAAAATTCAAAGCGAAGACGACATTTTACTCCAACGTCAACGTCAAACAATTCAAGTAATCAGAAATGGAAACAATCAACGTGCCAAGTAGACAACAAATCTTTCACATGTTTCACTTGAGAGAAGAAATAACTTTGTTTAAATTTGCTGAAACATACAACACTGGAACGTTATATTCCACAGCTGAATGAAAACTCATCTTATTTTGTGTTCGTGACCTTTATTGAGATTCATAACAGCTACACTTATCATTTGTTCGATGACAATATTCTCAACAAGTACGACTATGTCGACGAAATGATGAAGTGATTGTCTTTTGGTTTCATTGTAGAGCATCTCAATCAAAACAATTACGTGAAGAAGCCATCGAGTTGTTGAATATGATGGGTCTGAAACGATGTCGCATTGCGTATACACAACTCAACACAGAGTCAAACCACCAACATCACTCGTAAGTCATCTGACTCAGTAATGCGATTCTGTAAATGATCTGTTGGATTCTAGACAAAAGATGATTTGGCCATTAGTACAATGCATTTGGTTGATCTAACTGATAGTGAACGAGTGGAAGAGCCAGGCAACATGGTTGACCATTTCAGAAACTCTTTTTGACAAGAAAGTGTACGTATAAAAGGCACTGGCGAAGGATGGAATCATCTGAACAGCGAAATACTTATTGACATTGACACATCAGAATCTCGATGCACAAGGTGAAATTGTCACTGATTTGGTCAAAGTGAGATCGAAGGAAGGAGAAATGAATTTGATTTTGTTTTGTTTGATTTGTTTGGGTGATGTTCTTCCATTGAGCACTGGTGGTGTGAATGTGATATTTAATGATGTTGAGCGACTAACATGCACATCACTACCAGATTCATTGGTGTTACATAAGAGATGTCAAAGTGAAGAACGAGTTCTTGAAGAAGTAAGATCAACGAATACGCCCTCACCTTCGTCTCGCCCGGGTCCAGCTGTAGCACCCAAGTAAGTGAAGATCTGTTGCGAATCTATTCCGAGCGTCTTTATTATTTTCTCTTTGTAGACGATTTCGTATGTGAAAAGAACAACAAGGAAAGAATTGTTCTTGAACTGATTTGTCTGTTTACATTATAATTTCTATGTATTTTCGTCTTTCTAATTCTCTCCTTAATTGTGTGTGTGTGTGTGTCATATAGAAGTGCGAATTTATTCTTGTCGAAAAAGAAGAAAAGCTGAGTGAATGAACATACAATATTAAATCTATGCAAAAGAAGAGCATACGTTTGTTGGGCTTATTAAGAACTTTGTATGAAAGAGATCAATGAAGAGAAAGCAAAAGCGCCGGATAAGATTGATTGTCGAAGTTTAGTAGTAGCCAGTGGTGTCAAACTGAGGAAAGATGAACGTAGGTGAAGATAACGACATGTTGGCTCTGCGGAAGTAACACATTCACGAATATTATTTGATCGATTTGGTTGAGAGAAAAAATCTTCAATAAGTGCTTGTGCAGTTACTTCTCTTGTTGACGAATGCATATTGGGAAGCGGTGTTTATCTTGGCGATCGGTTAGACAAGACTTTTTCTATTCTGATCAATGTGTACTTTAATCAACGATTTACTAATTATTGTTATACTGCAAACGTTTTGCATAAGGTAATCCTTTGAGAACTCTTGATATGATCTCAAAGAGAACACATTAAAATCTAAAATATTTGTTGATTCTGTTCACTTGTCAGAAAATAAGTGCCTTGTCATGTTTAATCGAATAAAAATACGTGGCTGTTCTTGAAACAATAGCCTCTTACAGTGTCTTATGTCATAGTACCAATGGTTAATTCAAATGTTGTTTTCTGAACACGCAAGAGAGAAAGATGTCTTTCTTTTTTTCGTTTCTACTCACGATGCTACAGGTTGTCAAGAATGAAAGAGTGAATCATACAAAGTTTGTCTAAATTATATTAAAAATTTGTGAGAAACATTTCTCGTTTACACAGAAGAATGTTTGGTTATTATTTAGTTACGAAAATTGAGAGTGCAAGTTTTTGTCGAGTTTTGTGATCAGAATATAATTTCAAAGCTTCTTAACATGCGTTNTGTGATCAGAATATAATTTCAAAGCTTCTTAACATGCGTTGTTCTATGGAATTCAACGGTTTTTTTTTCGCTAGTAGGCCGAAATTTCTAAATGAAAATCGTCAAAGAAAAGACTAAATTTCACAAAAGCATGAACTATTGATCGTCTCTAGTGCGACTTTGACCACCACACAAAACTTTTTGTTGGCTTTTATTTATGACGCTTCACATACGTAGTACTCATTTTGACACTGTCATCTGTCTTCATATTTGATGATGACGAGGTGATTCTGTACTCTCCGAGAGCTTTCCAAGGATGAACGAATGTATGTTAGGGTATGGTCGGTTTGAAAGAATAAATTCATCTCATGTCATTATATTCACATTGTCAGTTAGTACAGAACATAATCGTCACATTCTAATAGTTTACCTTGTAAGATTCTTGATTATACAACTGTGAATGTCTATCGAATTAGTTCTAGACTTTGACATAACGAGATTTTGAGCGAGATTGGCAGCATTATCACACACAATTGAAGTTCATCATCTTCACAAACAAGTCGTCGGAAAACGTTTGTTTTCATATCATTTCAAGTTTTTCATATAAGTGAAATGGCCATGCCCTAAAACTTTGCCTTTCCATTGCAGAGCGCCGGAGTGAAATTACCTCATCCTACCTCGCTGTTCTCCATTTCAGGCGTTCGATCTATTATGCATCCACCGTACAGACAATGTAGAGTGAACAGTATTTGAATATGAGATTGAGTAGGGTGATTTTGTATTTAACATGTATTCATTTGAATGAAGAAACGCAAAAAAAAACAACGGTAAATATACAATTTAATAACAATCATATGAACTCATTTTTACAAACATTGTAAAACTGCAAACAATTGGAGAATTATGATGAAGGATTTGTATTCCATCGTGTAAGAGTATTTTCTTCCATAGGATAGGTCTATTGTCGACAGGTTCAGTTGGCCCATCATCGACTGCGATTGGTGCATGATTAAAGTTGCTATCATTTGTATTCGATGGGAAAGGATGGTCTCTACACTCGAACACCAGATATAATACGGAAGAATAGAGAAGCTCACCAGGAATTATGATACATTCAAATGTATGACTATGAAAACAACTATCATAATGAACTCTGTATGTAATAAAGACAAAAACCAAGGCGTAAATCGTCCATAGAGTACGAACAACGAGACGACTGTGTTTTCCATCTATTTTAAAAGCTAGTTGCAAGACAAAAGCAATCATTACCATGGATACTGGCACGGCAATTCGACTCAGCAAAAGGAAAACATGAGGAACACAGTGTTTGAAAATTTCTGGATCAGTCGACTGTAAGACAGAACAACAAAGTTCGTCATAAGGGATTCCACATGTTGGAAGCTCAGAATTGACATCTGTTTGATTCACCAGACGTGAGCGTGCCACTAAGCGGTGAGCTTCATTAAGATATAACAGAACTGAGTAGAACAGAGTGAAAACGCTCATATAAACTACGAAAGACATTATGACGTAATCTTGGTTTGCTGGCGAGACATCATTTTTGATTTTCATCTCGATATTCGTTGGATAAATCCTAGTAACAAGAATGAAATCGAAGTTGGTTGGATTGAATCAATAGAGATAGATCTGAAATGAAATCAGAATCAAATGNCGGTGAGCTTCATTAAGATATAACAGAACTGAGTAGAACAGAGTGAAAACGCTCATATAAACTACGAAAGACATTATGACGTAATCTTGGTTTGCTGGCGAGACATCATTTTTGATTTTCATCTCGATATTCGTTGGATAAATCCTAGTAACAAGAATGAAATCGAAGTTGGTTGGATTGAATCAATAGAGATAGATCTGAAATGAAATCAGAATCAAATGTAGAAAAAAGAAGAATTTTGTAAAGAATGTTCGAGTAAATGAATGAGAAGTATTGAAATGACGTAATCTAAGTACAAGATTCAATCGTATGACGAACAAATCATTGCTACAGGAACGGAAATGAAGAAAGTTAAACATGAAAACTGGTCCTTTTTTATAAATGCAAGAATATGTACGCTTGAAAAGAGTATGAGACAGTGCATACACTTCTCATCAAGATGAAATCATCTTGTTGGAAACAACAAATGAAAGTATTTTATTTTCTTTTCATTCTAACTTCGCTACAGATACTATATTCATAAAATAGCTGAACAAATACTTACCTCTCGCAATTGATACCGTTCATCATACGTGTCATAGGGAGATAGATGATTTATTTTGATAGCATGTTATAGATGAAATAAAAATCTGTCAAAAATATTTCACAAAAAAGACGTCGACATTTCAAATATTGATCAATCATATTGGATGGTTCGTGTCAAGTTGCCATACTCGCTTTGTAATGCGAAATGAAACCAGTTTAACTTCAATCAGGTTTAATTATCAACAGATATTTAGATCTGATTGATTTCACGGAATGGAATAGCATCATACTAATGAACTGTAAACGCAGAAGAAAAAGTGCACTATTCTATATGGTCAACATGCACAAAGGACGACGAGGTCAAGATCAAAATAGATAATGAAGGAAAACAAGGCAATATGCATAGTATACGAATATGAGATTGAGTCAAATGAAATTCGATTTAACATTTATTCATTTGAGTGAAGAAACACAAAAAACAACGGTAAATATACAATTCAATAGAGACTAGATGATCTCATTCTTAGGGACATTGGCCAATTCCAAAGAATGAGGGAATTATGGTGAAGAATTTGTGTTTCATCGTGTCAGAGTATTTTTCTCCATACGATGGATCTATTATCGACTTCGATTGATTCAAGATCGAAAATATCATCGTTGTTGCGAGAGGAAGAACGGCGCGTTGCGCAGTCTATAAGATGGAACCACAGGATACATGAGGAAATTGGGGTGGTAAAACTGAAAAGTGCCAATACTGCATAATGAAAACAACTGCTGTAATGAACTCCGCACGCAACACACACGAAGAGAAAAGCACAAACAATCCGTAGAATACGAACAATAAGACAACTGTGCTGTCCATCTATTGTAAAAAATACATGGAGTAAATAAGTTTCCATTGCCATCAAGACTGGCACTACAAGTCGACTGAGCAGAAGAAAATTGTCAGAGATACAGTCCTTCAAAATTTCCTCATTGGTTGTTTGTAAGACAGAACATCGGAGTTCGTCATAAGGGATTCCACATTCACGTGGCCACCCGGTATCGCGGCTTGTTGAATTTGACAGACGTAAACGAAAAACTCGACCATGAAGCACAGCTAACTCATTGTGAGTGAAGAACAAGTAAACTGTAGCCAAGAAAAGAATTGGAGCAAAAATTCGAGCGAAAATTTCAACGAAAACTTCATTTTTCGGTGAGACGCCATACTTAATTTTCGCATCTATATTCAGTTGACGGATCTTAATCATAATAGAATCAAGGTTTACCGCATTAAATCAACAAAGGCAAATCTGAAAGGAAGTAAGAAACACATTTAGGAAAAAAGAAGTGTATTGCAAAGGCTGTTCGAACAAACTAATGAGAATGAGTATTAGACTTGGAGTGATATAGTCTAGGTAGAAGTCTATATCGTACTACGGACAAATAGATTCTATTGACAAGACAATGAAGAAAAATAAAACAGGGCAAGTGAAGACGATGCAGTTTAGTTTCAATCAATATATAGTGTGATTTTATCAATGAATAGCAACTGGAAGCATGAAATATATCGCCAAAGGGATGCCAGTATGAACATAAACAACAAATGTAGTGAGATTCGTATAGTTGTTCAAGCTTCAAGCAGACAATGTCCTATTTCTTGACCGGATAATCGATTAGCACGGAAGCAACAGAAAGACATGAGATGTCGCATGCGGCTCATGCCAAAAGCCATCGAAGTGCAACAATGAAAATAGAATTCAGCAGATATTGTCAGTTCATCATATATTTGCAACGTAAATTCGAAGAATGTGGTAGTTAAAGATCGATCACATAGAAAGAAGAGAAAAAAAAGGAAAGAATAAATTTTGATAAAGTCACACTATATATTGATTGAAACTAAACTNGTGCGTGTATATTAACATCTATTCGTCTATGTGTATTTTTCTGGAGATACAAGAACAAAATCATCCCAACATTTCAAACACCAAGAATCTACAGTTTAGTTACAGAACCTCGACCATTTTAAAATCTTGATCTCACTGCTGTATTTTGCCGTTTGAATTGTACGATATTTAATCTTCTATTTTACCTTTTTTGTTATCGAAATATAATGCAATAAACTTGTACTACAGCAAAAAGGAATGGACTTACACTTATAGTTAAAGTGTCATCCTGCATGTGACGTTCAACTGGTTAACTTTGTAAAAATTTTCTCTTATGTAATTTTCTTTGCTAAAGATGTGTTGCATCTCTTTGTAAGAATGGTCATGTCAGCAATATAATAGATTCCTGAAGTGCCAATGCACTTTGAGTGAAGGACATTAAAAGGCGAACAGGAAATCTTTTTCTTTGAAATACTTTTTGAATCGTGAAGAACTTCGAACCCTATTTTACATGTGTATATATAAGTAGAGAAACACTATCGTATCTTTGCTTTTGAGCATTATGAAAATGCATTGCATGTTAGCGTTTGTCTTGAGCACAATTTTCCTTAATGCAAACTGTATTATGGTTGGTACCATTAAAGACGCACAAATTGTGACGAATGCTCCTTCGGATTGGCTAATGAATCAATACACTTGGTCTCAATGCTTATGTTATTCGCTGGCAAATTCCTCAATTGTTGCTCTGAACTTCTATACGTTGAATTCAACTTGTCAATTATTCACTAATGTCTCGTCATATCCATTTCAAATTGTGAAAAATTCAAACGTTACAACATATTTGCTCAAACAACTGACACGTTATGCTCCTTGTTGTTCAAATATATCGTGGTTAATGACACAGATTCAATCGGCTGCGAAGACATTGTCCATGCCTTCGATTACAAGTCTTGCTCTGGATAGTATTAATCAGAGATTAGGTGTTGTGGCTTCCGCAGTTCTTCGTAGTGTATCTCTCGATTCTTTTGCTCTTCTGAATGTGAGTGTTGGTTTAGCAGCGAATTCGCAAACGATTAGTTACTCTCAAGGTCTTTTCTATACCGGTGTCTATCCTGTCACCGCTCCATTTGCATTTACTATTTATTCGGGACAGAATTTTTCTAAAATTGGCAGCATGAATTTTACTGGAGGTGGACCCCAGCGTATTATTTGGCTTTTCAATGACACACTCGTTTGTGTTCTGCTACAAACAAATCCATCGACGATTTCAAAAGCAAATTTCTACAATTGGCCATCCGGAACACTGGTTCAGTCAATTACACTTTCAATAACAAATGCGTATGGACTAGGCAAAGCACCGAATAACGATACTTTTGTTTATATTACCGATGGATCAACGGGTGGGGATGTCTGGCAATTAAGAACATCAGCTCCTTACAACTTCACGCTGTTTGCTTTGACTACGAATGCCACCGAAACACCTGCATCAGTTACAGTTGATGGATGCAATCGTGTTTGGGTTGTATATGCTAAATTTGGCGTGAGAATTTATGATCTTAACTCACGAGCTTTGTTAATGTCATGGAAGTTGTTTCCGACCTATCCACTATTGTATGATCTTGTGCTGTCTGATCAATATCAACTCTATCTAGCTGATTACAGTACGGGTAAATTGGCACGGTATGGTTCGGGAATCCAATGTACAGCTTAAACTAGGACAAAACTTCCTTTTTTTTCGAATTGTTGAATAATAAAGTTCTACGATGACGTATAGTATCACTCAAAGATGTTGGCAGTAAACAATCATTTTTGTTTTGTAAATACTTCTTTTGTAAACCTATGTTATCAACTTCTTATCTATTGCATTCGTTGCAAAAACCCATTTTCATTGAGTCATATACATTTAAAATATCCTACCAATTTTGTTCTCTCAGGTAACAAACGGACTTTTTCATACCTGTACTCTTCTACTAACGCAAATTTTACTTCCTTTGGTTTTTACGAAATGACTGAAATACGTCGCAATAGTCTTGAATCTCGTTGTGATGAAATCAAGCGGTTAGTAATCAATCATTGTACAAGTGATTCAACTGTGTTGGGTATCGATGGATTACTGGATGCATTACTTGTTCTGTATGATGAATGTTGTAATGCAACGTTGAAAAAAGAAAAAACAATTGTAGAATTTCTTGAATATGGTCAGTGTGTTGTGTTATCGATTGTTTCTTGTTATTCTACTGTTTACTTGTTTGCCTTCCAGTTGGAACGTTTATTTCGCGGATAAAACAATGTCGAGTTAATCGAGATGATTTTCAAACAATTAAAACTATTGGGCGCGGTGCATTTGGTGAAGGTAGACGTGTTATCCTTTTTGATAAACAGAGAATTTCCCTAGAATATCGATTTTTAGTCGTGGTTGTGAAAATGAAAAATACAGAAGATTTATTTGCCATGAAGATTATGGACAAATCTGAAATTTTGAAACGAGCGGACACGGTCTCTTTTCGTGAAGAACGAGATATTCTTGTATTTGGAGATCAACAATGGATAACAAAACTTTACTATGCATTTCAAGATAACAGAAATCTAGTAAAACTAAACGAATGAAGTTTTGTAAATACCGATTGAGTTTTTAGTATTTTTTGATGGAATACTATCGAGGTGGAAATCTTTTTTCGTTGTTATCAAATCATAATGATCAATTTTCGGAAGAAATCACTCGATTTTATACCGCGGAAATGATTCTAGCAATCGATTCTCTGCATAAATTGGGCTACATTCATCGAGATATCAAGTATGTTGTTGCTTCTTTTTCAAACTTTCATCACATTTATTTCAAAGACCCGACAATGTTCTACTCGACAATCAAGGTCACATTCATTTAGCAGATTTCGGTAATTCAACTCGTCTTGCACTTGATTTTATTGATGTTTTTCTGTTACTTCAGGTTCTGCGTTGCGATTGAGAGCTGATAAGACAGTTAGTAGAAGATTTCCGATGGTTTTCATAGAGGATTCGTTGTACTTAGGTGGAGAATAATTTTGCTGTCGGCACACCGGATTATATTTCACCTGAGGTTTTGAATGCGATGAATTCAAATCGGAGTCGTTACGGTATTGAATGCGATTGGTGGAGTTTAGGTTGTGTAGTGTGGGAAATGTTATTTGGTGAACCTCCGTTCTACTCGGAACTTTTGAAAGAAACTTATGGAAAAATTATGGAATATGGAAAGAAAAAGGTCATTTGAGAACGATTGTTTGACGATCGAAAGAAGAATTTTGTTTGTTTTTTCAGACTCCACTTACGTTCCCTGATGATACTGATGTATCAGAAGATGCGAAAGATTTGTTACAGAATTTGCTTTGTCCAGCAAGTGATCGACTTGGAAAAAATGGAATTGACGATTTTAAGAAACATCCGTTTTTCCGTTCGATTAACTGGGCAAATATTCGACAATGTAAGAACTGTTCGAGTAAAGAAGACAATACGTTTTTTCTTTTTCAGCAAAGGTACCGTTTCCTTTCAATGAACAAGATCTTAGGGATGATGATGACACATGTGACAAAGTAAATCCATTCTAGTTTTTATCTCTGCTTTATTTCGATTTTCTGTTTAGAAACCTGACAAAGTAAATCGTGTGTATCTCATCTTGGAATATCTTCATCAAAACTCTTTGTAGAATTATGGATTATCAAAACCTGAAGCGGGATTCATTCGACAAACCCCATTTATTGGTTTTACTTATTCACCTAATACGTAAGTTACATAAAATACGAAATCGTCTCCTCAAAAACCTTTCATTACAGTCACATTTCAAGCAACTCTCCAACGACTCCTATTCTTCCCATCAATCCACCTTCACCTAGAGTTCGAAACACGAACCCATCTATCTCTCAGAGTAAAACTATGCTCCTTATTGAAGATGCATTTCTTGCTTGTTAGTTGTATACAATAGTTCGAATTCCGGACAAGAAGAACTGGTTAAAACGTTGAAGCGTCAACAGTCATCTCTTTCAGCAGAGGTCAATCGTTTGCAACAATTGTATGACCAAACCAAACTCGATTCGAGTCAACAAAAACATCAACTGCAGTTAAACCAAGATTTTCTTACCAAACAATACGAACGATTAAAACAAGATCAGATCGATTATTTCATTCGCCTGTTTATTTCGCTTCAAGATCTTCCAACTGCGAAGAGATACGATCATTTTCTTAAACAGATGGATTTATCTCGACAATTAGATGAACTCAAGAACGAATTTCAACAACAGATCAATGATTTGATCGTTATTCACAAATCTTTGTTAATCAAATGTTCGAATGAAAGAGAAAAAACCTTTTTAAATGAGCTTTCTCTTCTTTTGTCAAAATTTCGCGAAGAATTCGCTCAACTTCTTCAGAACGATGGAAATGATGAAATGACCTTGACGATCGACTGCGCAGATCAAGGATATCCTGTTTTAAATGACTTCATCGCATTTTTCACCGATCTTTACAAACAAGTCAATAGTGTTTTACACGAAAAAAACAACCTGACCGAACGGTTCGCGAATCTAGACAAAAAATATCGCAAATATTTCAAATGGACGACGAAAATCCACAAGATCATCGCTGAAGATCCATCAAAAAGTGAATATCTAAAACATTCCGCCATTCAAATGAAGAAGGATCTCGAACAATTGGAAGAAACAAGTGATCCTCGACCAAAAAGATCCAATACAATCTCATCAATTACATCAAATACCATTGTTCGACTTTTGTTTTTCCATCTGTTAGTGATTATCGTTCTGGCCTTGTTTTAGTCTCGTTCGTTCAAATTACAACATATGGAAATTCAACAATTACAAACAACTGTCAAACGAGAAGTGCAAGTTCGAGAAGAACTCGAAAAAAAACTCAAAAAAGCAGAGTTGGAAATTCTTCGATTAAAAGAAGAAAACGAATCATTACAAAAACAAATCAAATCGTCAAGAGCACCAAGTCTTTCAGGTAATCCCATAAAATCCACAATAAAATAAATCTCTTTCTTTTCTTAGCTCACTCGTCATTACCGATACGAAAGAACAACACAATTACTGACCAACCGCAAATACCAGTGAGAACAGAAGTCTTTCCTTGTTTTTTCAATACACCGAAGATTTTAGCCGGATGATTCAATCGTTGATCAACCATTGGTTCTTCGAACTGTAATCTTAAATGTGAACATCTTTGCTTGAGATGAATCAATTTAATTTTCTTTAGAATTCTCTACATGACTTCTCATTGGTTAATTTTCGTTTGCCAAGTATTTGTCATTATTGTCGATATGCATTGATTGGAATTATTCGACAAGGATTCGTTTGTCAACGTAGGTCATTATGAACGATTTCGTAGTTTACCATGGACTTTTAGGTTGTGCCATCGTTTGTCATTCGGAATGTATGGAGAAAATACAAACTGTATGTGATTTAGCAAATCGAGATCGAAGTAAGTTTTCTGTTCGTTTCTTCTCTTTCGTCGTATTCGTTCTTTAGATCGAATCAATCTTCTGGATCAAAATATTGTTCGAGTAAGTTTTCTGAATGGATTTTATCTTCTATCAATTGAAAATAGATCCCGAAAAGTGATGATTTGAGAAAAGAATGGAAGAAATGTCAGTTATTGACAACAGACACAAAAGTTTTATTTTACGACTTGACTATTGACAAAAACATTACTTGGCCTCGTCCATGCTTGATTCTCGATGTTTTCGACCACAAATTTCACGTCGATTCAATCGCATTGTCGGATCGAGTCAATGGAAATAAAACTGATCTGGCTGCGACCTTTAAGGTTGACTTTTTCTTTCTTGTGACGTCAAAATTCCTCACGAATTCCGGTTAGATCAGTGTGACGAAAATCTCCGCACCTCAACGAACGAAGCATGTATACATTTCGGCGACCAATTCTTCGGAAAGAGATCAATACATCGAGAGACTAAAATCATTACAACAGAAAGCATCAAATGTTTGTTAATTGACAAAATTTTGCAAGGATTCATTTTCTGATTTTATAGGATCGCGAAAATTTTCGTCTGAAAGAAATTCGAGATGCAAATACGAGAAAAATCACCGCTGCTCTTATCCTTAGTAAGAAGTTCAACCATTCAGGAAAATAAATATGAAGAATATGTTCGATTTTTAGATCAAAATCGTTTTCTTCTTTCCAGTGAAGATGGCATTTACCTATACGATCTTAGTACCGATTGTAATATAAAACAATTAACTCAAACTCTCATCATTTTCCCATTTCTTCGTTTAGCATTCCAGAAATTATACGATAAAAAAGTTTTTCAACTATCTTTGGTATCCGAAAATCAGTTGCTCCTCATCTTATCTGGTAAAGAACGAATGATTCGTATAAAATCTTTCAAGCATTTCCTCGACCATTCCTCGTCGTCACTCGATACAAAAATTCCTGAAAGCAAAAACGCGACAGTGTTCGCCATCGATCCACAATCATTAACCTTATGCGTGGCAATTAAAAATGGCATTAATGTTTACAAAATCTTCGCCAAACCTCAACCATATCCATATAAACACCTATGTGATCTACATACGACACAGATCATCACGTATTTAGACATTTCAACCTTGAAAATCAATAATCAGGATGAACGAGTTATTTGGTATGGATATGCATCAACATTTCTTGCACAAAGAATTGATAAACAATATCCAAGTGTGGAATTATTAAGAGAAAAAGATCCAACATTGAAGTATCTGTTGGAAAGAAATTTAGAAATCTTACGAGTTATCGTGGTTAAAAGTAAATAATGATCGATTTTGAGTTTCTCCTTGAAAGACAACGAAATTGATTTATTCATTTAGACTCGTCATCAACTGATGAACTTCTACTTGTCTATCGTAAGATTGGTGTGTATATCAATTTACTAACTGGAATGCGCACACGTCATCAAGAATTGATGTGGACATCTTCACCCAACTCTACATCGTACTCCGAACCATATTTATTCCTTTATAGCGATAAATCAATCGATATTTATGATGTTTGTGACGGAATATGGCTACAATCGTTTCCATTATCTAAGACTTCGCCATTAACGCTCGATGGTTCGATATCAATCTCTAATGACGAAGAACTTTATCAAAATCACACGAAATTGATTCACATTGCTCGTAAAACTCATACGCAAACACCTTTGAATTTAGTAAAAAGAAAATCATCAAGTGGTGAAACTTTAAATTCTCCCGACTCGCCTGTAGATGTTGTCATCTCCAAACCGTTAAATTGTGTGCATGTTGAACATATCGGACCGGACGATGGTCGACGGATGCTTTCTCAAATGTCCGATGAGCAAACAAACATCGTCGTGCTATCAACAAGACCATATTCAACAAGTCGAGTCGAACATGGTGAAACTTCGACAAATTTACAGTATCAAAAATCTCTGAGATCGGATGAAGCAACCGAAGACATAGAAAGTTATTACGCAGTTTTAAATTCTTAATGTTTCTGCCCTTTTTTTGTTTTCATGTGATTCTTTGATTTTAATTGAAAAGAAAAACGAGCGCGCCACTATGTTATCTAATCAAACAATTGACTTGACTCGTCTTCGTTGGCGTTTCGTCATATGTATTGCCGCATTCTATGTGAATGTCATAGTATGGGGATTTATATCTTCGACTGGAATATTTGAGAATGCATTCAAAACGACGTATCAGTTCACATCGTTCCGCTCGACTCTTCCCGGTTCGATACAAATTGCAACAATGTCCGTTATGAGTATTTTCGCCAGTATTTTAACAATTAAGTATGGAGTTAGACTGATAACAATAAACGGCGCATTTATCTCAACGATCGGCTCGATTTCTGCAGCAGTGATTGGAAGTTATTGGGCATTTTGTCTGTTTTACGGCGTTTTTATTGGAATTGGTGAAACTCTGATGCTTGTACCTGTAAATTTCAACCGCATGAAAAAGATCTGTCAATTTTATTTTAGGCCATTTTAGCAATTCCACCGTATTTTCATTCCAACCGTGTTTCATTAGCCACTGCATCAGCCGTAAGTGGCGCATCGATCGGAATGTTAACTATTCCGTTTTTACTTCAACATCTTCTTGATAAATACGGTCTTCGTGGTGCTACGCTTCTTTCCAGTTCTTTATGGTTAAGCGTTGCACTTGCTGGTGCTCTTTTTGGCAAAGGTGTGATCAGCATTGAGCAACACGATGACAATCAGAGTAGAAGTGAAGCCAACGGGTCGAGCAATCGATTGATTTACAGTCGACGAACTTCTCTTTTACCCATGTCACCGCGTTATCATCACGATCGATTGACCGTTAATGCTCCGAGAATTCCCGAAGAAAATTTGCAAGAGAAAACGCGCAGGTAGAGATGATCAACGCATATGAGTTATGACACAATTTGTTTAGTTCTTTGAATTCTTCGCCAATAATTGTCAAGTCTCATATCTTTCAATCAACAAATCTGAATACACATTTAGTTGTTCCTCATTCCGATCAACAACAGCATCATCAGTTGTCTTTTGCAGATTCTTCACAGAGAGTTGAATTGAATTCTTCGAAACAAACATCGAGGAATTTTCTCCGAGAAATATTCTCTCTTCTTTATATCAAGTCCTTTCGTATTTTGATTATTTCTATGGTTTTCAATTGGTCGTTAGATGAAGCAAATTTTCTATTTCTCGCCGATCTCCTCAAAACATTTCATCATTCCGAACAACGCTCAACTCTCCTAATCGCCATCATTGGCATTTCTGATCTTATTGGACAATTAGTTTTCGGGTAAATTTTCTCTAAAGACCTCAGTCTCTCCACTTTTCTTCCACAGGTATTTAGGCGACATGGAATATCTCGATCCGATCGTACTTTGGACATGTACATCGATTATCGCAGGCCTGTCATTAAGTCTTACACCTCTGATTGGTTCAACTGGAATGATTAGTCTATGTGTACTCTATGGTATTCACGCATTCTTTCTCGCCGGTCCAAATGCATTAGGAAATGTGATTATGATTGAAGCTGTTGGTCTGCATCGTTATGCCATTGCATATGGCTTTAGTTTATTAATGAGTGGTTCGGCTTCACTGGTTGGCTATCCATTGCTTGGTTAGTTGAGTATAAAAGAGTTTCAGTTATCGATAATTTCATCTGTTTAGGTTTGTTGAAAGATAAAACTCAGAATTGGATCATCCCATTTGCGTTAGTTGGTGTAGTGATGATCTGTGGTGGTTTGATCGGAGGAATCATTCCATTGTGCAAATATTACAAGAGGAAAAGGCAAAACTGAAATGTAAAGGAAGATTGTTGTGTGATGTAAAACCCAATCTGTATTGAATAAATCTCATGATGTTTTTTTCTAAGTGCAAAAAAAGGCGAACATGGAGATTGAAAAAAGAAACGTTTTTGCATCTAATTATCTCATCTCTCATTTTATTTAGCACTTTGATGTAAATATAGATGGTTTTCAGGAAAATGAACAAGTGAAGAACGCATAAACCATCTCGAAATGCTATTTTTATCAAAGACCAATCGTTTCATTAAACAACGGCGTTGTATTAAGTGAAAGTTTTACTTGATGTTGAACATTGTTTGTGTTAGAATTGACCGGCGGATCAGACAGTCTCAAAATATTCGTCGAATGGTTTTGATCATTTGATGAAGGTGATGTTCGTCCACTAAGCGAGTCCGAATTTAATGAAGAGATTGTACGAAGATAATCGCGTCCGGATTGCATTGTCAATGGTTCATGTAGAACCAATTTAGTTCGAGAATTTCGCTTTAAATACTGACATTTTTCTTCGTATTTTTGTTTCGCTTGTCGAGCCAGTTGTTCACTTGTTGGCTTTCGACAACAGTAAAGTGTTAAACATTCCGCCCGAAACAGTTGTCCAAAGACACAAAATGGGATGAAATTCGTCGCTGCATTAATAATCGCGATCAGATTTGCAATCGTGTGAAAACGTCGAACACCTGAACTTGACGTGGCATCGAAAAAGATCTTTATTGTTAATTCAAACGACCATAAAACCCAAAGAACGACAGTTGGACTGCGACATAATAGTAAACCTAAGACCATGATGATGACCATGACCGTAATGGAGTACTTCGAATGGTGGAAATATCGACGACGATGATGATGATGATGATTATAATGACGTGAATGAGAAGTTGTAGAAAACTCCGAATTACTCGAATAGCTCTTTTGACGGAGACGTTTCGAACGTGATTTCAAACGACGTAAAGCACGGATTAATTGTAAATTAAAAAAAACGATTGTTAAGGTCGGTACCGTATAAACAAAAATCACATTGAAAAACATATAAAACCAACGATAAGATTTGCGGAGAGCCAAATCCGAATACCCTTTCGTGACGAGCATACTATTCTTCGACGAATCTTCATCAATTGACATCGCTGTTTCATTGTTATCAAGATGAATTATCTGATAAGCATTCGGGATTTGTACGATTTCATATTCGAAGAATAATGGAACTGTGTAGAGAAATGCAATGATAAACAAGGTTCGAGACACGATTCGTGCGCGTTTCAATGTACAAAAGGTTTTTCCATACACCGGGTAACAAATAAGTAACCAGCGATCCATTGTTACAGCTGTCGATATCCAAAATGACAAAACTCGACCACCGGCAGCTAACGCTCCACAGAGAATTTCGATTTGACGAAGCGAAATAGCAACAGATGTGCTTCGACGAGTTTGAAGAATAAATTCCAGAAGTTGAGCAATCATTATGGATAAACATGTTATCATATCCGATATTGCTAAACTAGTTAAATACACAAAGGTTGCCAAATGCGTACTTAGTCTTAAAAGGACAATAACAGAAGTAAGGTTACTTAAGGAACCTAGAACAGCGAATGTAAATGTTGCATACGATATCCAATAATACAACGGATCCGATGGAGATTTGTTAATTGAATGCCATAGATCATCGATTTCATCTTGGGCCCGTATCAAATCCTCAAGTGATGATAAATTAGTCATCTACAAACCGAAGAAGAATCGCTTACAATTGAAAATTTCGAATTCAACTTCGTATAAAAATAAACTTTGATTCTGCGACAAAACCCGTCAATGCCAGACAGAGAAACTTAAGGCGATTAAGTCTATTAGGATATTATTCGCCTCTCTATACGAGATAAAAATAATTTCTCAGATGAAAATCTTCATCGTTTATTCAATATGAAGATTAGCAAAAAGAAAAACTAAAGAATTTTTAAAAAACCTTCCTTATTTCCTCCTTCCATTTGTGTGTGTGTGTGTATTCGATTCCCTGGATAAATTAATCTTCTTCTGGAGTAACTCATTCATCATGAAAACTCTACTTTTGTCACCTGAACCGAACATGATCTATATATGGAACGTTAAGCAATAAGTAACCTCTCATGTGATTATATTCTTTTGTGATTTTCACTGACAACCGATACGGAAATGAAATGCCCTCAAACCTCGGCAAGAAAACATCTGACATATATCTCTCGGATTAAAAAATTATTCATAAAACTGATCGAGAATTAGAACGAATAATAATATCTTTACGAAGAAAGAACATTGGTACCTAAAAATATTTTTAACCTGACCAAAATGATAAAAGCGGTTTCATTCTCTGTCGACAAATGCTGATCCACGAAAGTTCAATCATCTCTTCGGGTTTGATGGAGTACAGTTGATTATTTCTCATTCACTGACTAACATGACGACAAATCATGAAATTGACTGATCTAGAATAGTAAATTTAGACGGTTAAATGAAATCGAACGGGAACAACAAACACATCCTACTCTTTTCATATGTTTTGTCGAGAATAATAATGTTTTCTTCTCGTTGCCTAAAGCGAATTTCTCTCTGTCTGAACTCACCAAAATAAACGTTCTATTTTTTCCGTTATTTTAACAAAGTTAAGTGTTGCTACTGTTTACTATTCACATTAGTTTCTCTTTACATGTTTTCACTGTCGTTGAACATGGTTAACTACCAGTCGTCCTTTTCATCATTATCATATTCGAGAAGGAAAAAAGAAGATTAAAGATATGACACAAAAGGAGAAGAGAAAATATATCTAATCGGAAATGACGTTAATCTATGACTTTCTTTCAGAAGAATCTTTTGAAATTAACAATACACCTACTGAAAAAACAGTCAGTTGTGAATAGATGAATACATCTGTAATGATCGCGTGATTCGAGATGAATGTGCGAGAAGAAAGGCTTTCTATCATTAAATTTTCAAAACGAATGGCAAAATCAAATCAAGGTTTTAGTCTTCTCTCGTCGACGCTAATGGATTCTAGATCACATAGTCAGAGATTACAAATCGCACAATCTTCATAGACGTGACCTGACTCTGACCAAAGAAGCATAAAGCATGGCTTTCTGAATCAACTCAAGTTTCGTTACATGAAACGAATACTAATTATAAATAAACTAAGAACGCGCAACATGCGATGTGATCAAAGATTTTTTTTCCACAAATTAACTTCGAATTTCATGTGAAAGTCACAAATATTAGATGAGAGGAAAGTCTTCTCGTGTCTTTATACAAGCAAATTTAAGTACATTTTGACATGAGTGGTGCTCATTTACATTCTGAAGAGTAAACAATTGAAATGTTAATGAAAATTATCATTTTATATTGTTCTTCACAAAGTTGTTCCACTATTTTTAGACGATAATGAAGTGAATATGGTTGAACTCGAGTAATTAAAAAAGTTCGAGCGATAAGATAAGAGTCAATCTGTAAAAATAGATATTTGCTATTCCGTCTTGTCAGATACCCTTGTTTTTAATTGATCTCTTGTAACTTAAAATGTTTATTCAAGAAATAAAGATTAACTGTGATATTTGTCAACAGGTATGCATATGTTTATAATGTTATCAACTAATGTATTTGCACAAATATGTAGGAGAGTATCATATCGGATCGATGAATATGACCTAGTGATAAGAAAAACATGTATTTGTTTGGAATAACAAGAAGATTTGTTGATGTTTGCTTGTGTTTTGTCCTTCTACTTCTCTCAATTGTATTTCTCAGTATTTCTACTTCAGGACGACTACCCAAACCGATCTCTTGCTACTATTATGCATTTTTTCCCTCAAGGACACGTAAACGGTGTTTATGTTTTTTCCTCTTCATTTCAATCAGAAGTGGAATGAAGTTATTGCTCAACCTACAGGTATAAAAGGTTTATTAACCACATTCTTTTGCCAATAATCGAGTTGGCTTAGTTGTTCGGCTACTTCGTTGTCTAATGGTATGATAAAAGTTCAGGGTACTTTTGATGGTGGTTCGATTCCGCCCGAAATTACGCTGAGCAACGCGATCCAACGAATTCAAAATTTTTCCCCTCGATGAAATCACTATCGGTATGTGTATCTTAAAATTTCCATTTATTGATTTAATTTTCCAATGTTACAGCGTCATTTGCAATCAAAACGAAGAGCAGCAGTTTTGTCGTTGAGAAAAACTGTCTTGTTTTTCTTCCTGCTTATCATTCAATTGATGAAAACGAGAGAAAGACAGAAATTTTCCACGTTATATAATGTACAGTACAACGTAAGACTGCAAAATGTTATTTTCGTTCCCTATCAAATGTACAACTCTCGAGTGCAGATGTACATTGAAACTCAAAACATATAAAGGTCATGTTTGCATGAAGCTTTTTACCCGTTTTTATGTTATTTCAAGGAATTTTATCTATTTGACGTTATTTTAGATTTGTAAAAACTGAATCAAATAGCTTTCTTTTTTCAAAATGTCAATTACACGTGATTATTCGCGCGATAGCCGTTCATATTATTCTCGTTCATCATCTTATGGAAATCTCAATCGACTAGCAACTAGTTACAGTAGTTCAAATCTTCAACGAACAGCCAGTACAACACGAATCGAACGAAGTTATGTTCTCCCACCACCACCACCTCCACCACTCATCTGGGAGCCTTTGGACGATCCATTCTTCTTCCAACGCCGAGCATCACGACTTTTCGATGATTTCGATCGTCGTGTAACTTGGTACGTTCACGATGATATCACTGATCGAGAAGTGATTAAACAGGACACTTACAGTTACGAACGAACTGTGCCTGTAACTGTTCCCGTAACTTACCGAGAATATCAAAGTAGTTTATCAACAACAAGAAATATTCCTGTTCAATACACACCATTGACAACTGTTGAACGCCGAGAAAAAATTTATAGAAAAATTGATGATTTGAACGACTGGACACCAGCGCCGAGCACATTGGTTCGAACAGATGAAAGCTATGAAGGTACGATGAATTTTTTTGAACAAGAGCAGTGAGTTCTGATTTTGACTTTGTGTTTTTAGCACGTGAAGGTCGCCGTACTGCGGTTGATAATTGGTCAAAACAGGGTAAATATTCGAAAATCTTATTTACTAACAGAATATCCGATGCGTAATGAAACGCGTGTCGAGATGTTTCGTAGGTGTTTTGTTAACATGAAGTGTTTGCGCATGAACTTCGCCTGATTTGTTTCGATTTCGACCGTTAATAATTTGTTTTTATTAATATTTAGATTATCAATATTCAGATTCAAGTCATCGTCAACGAAAAATGTCCATACCATATTAATCATCAGGAAAAACGTCTTCTCTCTCAATTTTAATGATTGAATCTTGAACTGAAAATACAACTCTCTTCTCATTCTTACTCTTTTGCATATTTACTTATATATAGTCTACTAATTAGTATTAAGTACGTGCGCGTGTTTGGACTTAGACGAAAAAAGAAAGAATTATTTGATTCTTTTTTTTGAAATCTTTCTCTCTGACATATTTTTAGTATTTTTTCTTCTTCTTCTAATCCATTCCATATATTAACAACAACTATTTTCAGCGTTCTTTGTCTCTTGTCTACCTTTTTTATACATACATCGCGGTTTAACGATGTATTTTTGAATTCGGGTTTTTTCTTTTAAATAAATTTATTCATAATTATCGAAAAACAGAAATTACTCGATTGAGGAAATCATGAATATTGATTACGTTTAGTATAAAGAAAAATAATTTTTGCTGCAGGAAATTGAGATATTCATGAGACAAAAAGATTTCGGATGTTGTTTACTAGAAAAGGATTTGGACTGGAGAATTATTACTTCCGTAATAGTTCGAGTACAAAAAGTGAACTGAATAACACAGCAGCGTTTGAAACGAGAACAAATGATATGACGAAAAAGAGACTCGTGTGCGTGTGAAAGACGCAGTTATTTGTAATCATCAAATAAAGGTGTCGTTAGTTGACAGAACAGAGAAACATTGTTGATTCATTCGTTGGAAACAAAATCAATCAATAATTTGATCAGATATTACGAAAAAATTTCCAAGAAAATCTTTTTCAAAGTTTCATTTCAAAATCTCATCTCGTTT